AGGTTAAGGTTAAGATGGAGTTGTCAGGCAGGATATCTATGACTGACGAACACTGAATGGATCGAGTGCAGAAGTTCAAGGTTAAAAGAGTTGTATTATGGAAAGAACACCACCTCACTCTCATGGGGTATTTCCATATATTAATTTACAAAGTACTCTCTTATTGTGATCATTCTTCCGAGGCAGTCAAGATAAGCAAAGAGAAAAAAATGAAGGTAGCTTTAAAATTATCTTGACTGACTGCTTTCAGAAAGCCTCAGTAGCTGCTTTGGAAGTTCTTTGGTTCATTAAAAAATATATTTCTCATGTGGTGAGCACCAATTGGTCAGGAACTGTGTTAGGGCACTTTATATATATTATCTAATACAATAAGTTTCAACTGACAACCACTGGTTTAGAGTTCCTATTTATCTGTATGAGTTATCAAAACAAACATGTCTAAATTTACATATTAATTTGCTTTTCAAAAATGCAAACTTCTGAAATGAATGTATCTTACTTTCTCAGTCTCTATTAACAAATACTTAGGAATTAGTTACTCTGTTTTTTTTTTTTTCAAATTCACAAGTTAGTACTTTTGTGAATATGCAGCTCTTATAAATTGACCAAAGCAATATTTATTATGTTTATTCTGTAGTTCACTATTTGCAACTTAAATTCTAAACATATACTAACGAAAACATCAAAAGAGGAGGGAGAAGAATTTTGTGAACATTAATGATCACTGAATTTACCTTAATTATTCAATACCTTATTCAGTATTAATTACTGTTCTTGTACTAATAAACGTTTTTGTCATTTGTCGACTTTAATGTCATATAACAAATTTTGGTATAGAGAGATAGTAACTTCTCTGAAATCAGACTAATTTGTTAAAACTGTGTAATAAAATAGCATAGGCTATGAAATATGTGGTACTAGATATAGACAGAGTTTGTATATTTTTCTGACCCTAATCCATTGAGGCTTTAAAAGACCTGCCTCAAATTAAGAATATTAATATTTCCAGAAGTGTGACATTCCAATGAATAAAGTGACATTATTGGTAAACATTAATGACAAAACTTCCTCACCTATAGAAATGTCTACAAATTTATTATATATTTTCATGTTTATAGTTATCAAGGTAATTTTATGATAAGTAAAATAATAAACGTGTATTCATATCTTAAATGTAATCATTTCTATTTAAATATGGGGAAATGAAATAGCTATTTTCTCAAAGAGAGTATTTTAGTTTGCTTTACAGATGAAACATATTATATGTGCCAGTTTTGATTTTGCACTATTTGCAAACAGTATTCTTGTTGCTGAGCAAGTACAGATTGGTACAAGTAAAATATTTTAGGACGAATCCAGATTTCAAAAGCAGAAATGTTAGTCACAGATAATTTTGAAGAGGTAGCTTCAATTTCGTGCCTCAATATCAGTGCTATAGGTTTGGAGGCAAGCATCTATTTTAGAATAAAGCAATTTTATATTTTACTTAAACACCTGAATTGCTGTATCCTGGTGTCACAGATCAAGTTATTCCTAAAGTGAGCTCTGAGACTTTACTGGGGAGTGCTCATGGAAACATCATTTGTGAGAAGTGAGGGATACAGGATTGGGAAGAGGAAGGAGCTGGACTGTGATGTAGTCACAGCAGAGGTCTCAGCCTACCCTAGATGCCATTAGCAACTTTGGAGGTAAAATAGAGCTTCAGAGTTTTCCTGCTTTGAGACAAGTGGGCAAAGCCAGCAGACTCCTGCATGAATCAGTGATTGCTTGAGGCTATCAAATCCTCCACTTAGGAGGGTCACCTTAGGTGAGGCACCTCCCTTTGGCCCAGGGCAATTTGTAAAGAGGCTCTTGGGCTAGGGACATCAGCCACCAGCACTCCAAGCAACTGAGAGGAGTGCCTTGGTGCTGAAAGGGGCTCTGGGAATCAGACCCACAGCAACCCCTACACCTGTATTTGCATAGCAAATAGTCTAAAAATATGTAGCCACATGTCCTCTGCTTTCCTACAATCTTATACATTGCTCCTTTCTAACAGGTGAGAAGAGATGAGCTTAAATATTTTTTTGAACTTTCTAAGGTTTTTATGACTCTTCTTTGATGTTTTTTTTTTAATCCCCTAGGAAGGAAACTCTAGTTGCAACACTGAGAGAGGACCTTGAACTGTTTATACAAGTATAAATGAAATAGATATCCTAAAAGAGAGAATGGGAAATTAAATTTACCTGATAATTGAACGGACATATTTTTATTATTTATGTCTCTCATTGTGCTAGATAAAAAATCAGCTCGAGCTATTCCTTCACTTCTTTGGATACCCTAAACCAGAGGAGGACTTAAAATGAAACAATTGTAGAATATTTTCTTGCTAAATTGCATCCTTGTTATTATAAGCATGGAATTTTCTGCGGAAGCAAGATAAACAACTGAAGAGTTTATCAACATTTTTTTTTTCTCTACATGATGTTATGTTGTTAACCCTTACCTAATTTCTGAAATCTTAGAATCAAACCAAGTGAATGTAAATGAATATCCTTTGCAAAGAATGATGTGTGACACAAATGAAAGTAATTTAGGGCTGGGCATGGTGGCTCACACCTGTAATCCCAGCACTTTGGGAGGCCGTGGTGGGTGGACTGCTTGAGCTCAGGAGTTTGAGACCAGCCTGGCCAACATGGCAAAAACCCATCTCTACTAAAAATACAAAAACTAGGTGGGCATGGTGGCATGCTCCTGTAGTCCCAGCTACTCGGGAGGCTGAGATGAGAGGATCAGCTAAGCCCAGGAGGTTGAGGCTGCAGTGAGCCATAATGGTGCCACAGCACTCCAGCCTGGGCAATAGAGTGAGATCCTGTCTCAAAAACAACAACAACAACAAAAAAAGTAATTTAAAATTGCTTCTTAAATTTCACCACATCACTGATTTCAACCAAAGCTTACTTTACTTCTGAGTTTTTGTTTTTGAAACAGAGTCTTGCTCTGTCGCCCAGGCTGAAGTACAGTGGTGCGATCTCGGCTCACTGCAACCTCTGCCTCCTGGGTTCAAGTGATTCTTCTGCCTCAGCCTCCGAAGTAGCTGGGATTACAGGTGTGCACCCCACATTTGGCTAATTTTTGTATTTTTAGTAAAGATCGAGTTTCTCCATGTTAGCCAGGCTGGTCTCAAACTCCTGACCTCAAGTGATCCATCCGCCTTGACCTCCCAAAGTGCTGGGATTACAGGCATGAGCCACCACACCTGAACTTACTTCTGAGTTTTTTAAAGATGCATCATCTAAAAAGTTATTTTGGGTTTTAAACTTTTTATTAAAAGAGAAACGTTTAACAACACTAAACTCATGATAGGTCTATCACCAAAGTTTTGCGCATGCCCTCTCTAAAAATGGTTACACACTCACACTCAATATACTACCAAGTGGACAATAAACTAAGTTTATAGTGTGCTCTGGTGAATGTAGACTTGTTATATTTCATTGTTATCTCTATTTGTTTTGACATCTGCCCTTTATTTAGTGCCTTGTGCTACTTTGCACATTAGTTTACTGATTATAGACTTCAGTTATTGACTTTGCTATTGTTGGCCGTGCTATTATTATTTCAAGGAAGAAGGTAAGACAGTGGGGGAAAATACAGTTTTTCTTAATTTGGCTCCAGCTGATTTTATACCTGGGAGCAGGAGAGCTGATGGTTCTTGTGTATGGTTAATTAAATCCTGTGCTGATGGCTTCTGTTACAGGTACTAAGTCATCTAGCTTGTTAGCAGATCCTCTGTGGCCCCATAGGGTTGGATTTATCATTGGGGAATCATTTTCAGAATGTTAATTTTGTGCTCAGGTAACTGATTGAGGGCAAGATGATGTTCTGTGTGCAGTTGGCCAGAGAGTTTGTTGTGAAATTTGTAAAGGCAATTTATACGAGGAGACTGACTCTACCTTGTTTTTAAAAATGAGATGGCAGGCAAGTGGCACAAGCATGTCTCCTAGAATTCTTTACTGTTAGACAGAAAAATAGCCCATTGCATTTTGTTTTCCTAATGCTTGTTGGATTCTTACCAGCAGGTTTTTACAGTCTGTTGCTTGCCTCTCAGATTAGAAGAATGCTGGCATATTTTAACAGTTCCCTAGGATTCAAACAGCCTTTAATTAACAGCAAATTGATGTTCTGGAATGTTACCAAAATATGGGAGACTGAACACTACAGATGGGTTTCCATCCTTCCAGCTCCTGAGTGTGGTGGAGTCCTATAACAGGGGGCAAAGGTATGTGCTCTCTTGCAAAAGGCTGGCTACTTACTGGCATGCAAAAGGGATGTCTTTGTTGGCATAATATTCCCACTGCCTGCTCAACAGTGGCCATCTACATTCCACCTACTCCTGACTGGGAGGAAGGCAGGGAGTTGTTGAATCATCAGAGCTGTAGGGGTGCTGAACAGTTCAGACATCGTAGCACTGGTTTTGCTGGTTTTTAATCCTCCAGTTGCTAGAGCAGTAAGGTACAGCTGCCTGAGTTTGAGGTTAAATTTCTTGTATGTGCCAGGTTCATGTCATCGTGCTGCCAGAGTTTTGGATGTGGTAGCAAAGAGCAGTTCTGTAAAATAATCACTCAGACTTAATGCATATTGTGAGTGCTTTAGTTTTCAAAGAGGGATGGGCACATGATGAAGGGGTCTTCCCTTTGAATTCAGAGATCTTGGTTGCAAATTTGTGACTGACCCAATCTGGAGCTCTAGGCAGGAAAATAAAGACAGGTTGGGGCATTTGAAATGTTGATGTTACTTACATAACCAGATAGTTATAATCAAAGGAAAACGGAGCAGTTCAACTAGCTCGCTCTGCCTAATGGCAAATTTGCTCATTGGCCAGTTCCCAGTTGAGGTCAATAGAGTCCATGTCTTGTTTTTTCCAGTGACCCACAAAGCTGGCCTTTTTGTCTCAAAAGCAACTTTGGTGTTTTTTTCCATGGTGGTGTCCCTGATTGCTCCCTTTGCTCTGGTCTTCACAGGTGGTACATGCCAGAGTCCTGCTCTCCCGGCCCTTGTCCGTCCACCAGCCCCTCCTCTGCAACCATCGCTGGATATTAAACCATTTCTTCCTTTTCCTCTTGACACTGCAGCTGCAGTCAACCTGTTCCCCAATTTCAATGCGGTAAGTACCTGCCGAATTTGTCTTTGCCTGAGTGGAAGGTATTGGAAAACCTTAAAGGCCAGGGTTGATTGTTCACTGCCTCCATTTTGCTATATTGTTCATTGCATGGTTTGTCTAGAAGCCATAATGAAGTTAGTTGTTTGCCTGGTTAGGAAAAATCCCCAGAACCAGGCTCCTTCAAGGAAAATGAGAAGAGATTCGATCCGATTGGGTTGATCATGACTTGATGTCTCCCCTCTAGTGTCTTCTGGGCCAGTGCAACAAATCTATAGCTTTGTAGGCATACATCCAAACTGAAACAATGTATTTATTAGAGAGAACATTAGAATTTCAGTACATATTTTAAAAATTAAAAATGTGTTTCTTCTATCTGCTTTAATTTCCAAATCTGTTACGTTTCTCTAACTTAATAAATAGGACCTTGACAATGACAGCAGTGATTATGTTTCAGGTATACAGCACTTTCTTCCCACCATTAACTTAAAACAACTCAGGGTTCTGGTAGCAAGAGTTTTAGTGTGTGTTATTGTTGCCCAAGTTAACTCTCATATTTCTTTGTTTCTTTGGGCTTTGTCAATAGCCTCTCAGCACAGGTTCAATTACTTTCTTACCTCTATTTTCACTTTTAAGATATCTTTTTGTAAGTTGGCAGATGCATCATTTTCATCATCATGTGTTTCTTTTTCTGCAATCAGAGTATTCTTAGGATGAAAATTGAAATAAGGGTTGAAAAGGTTAGAAACAAGTAAGTGACTTTTTTTTTTAATATTATCTATTCAGCCTTCAGATAACAACAGTGGTTGTTATAAGGCAAGTCTGAGCTTGTCAATGACAGGACATGTCAGTGCAACCAGAGCAGGAAGGATTAAGATGAGAGGTCACTAAATGTCCAGTGATCTAAATAATACAGCTTTCTCATTGCAATATCTTGTCCCATGATGGATTTAAAAATATATATATTTGGCTCACAATTAAATAATTCTTTAGGAGACAGCAGTGGGTCTTATTTTCTTTAACAGTACTTTGTCACATGGACTTTGGACATGTCAATGAGTCAGTACAGTTATATGCTAGTCCTTGCTAAAAGGCAAGGGAGAATCAAAATGACCCCTTTGCTTTTTGTAGGGAGAGGAATTTTCCAAACCTTGTTTTGAAATTGATATTTCATAAATAAAGCAACATAAAGATCTCCTTTACAAAATACAGGTTTCTAATTCTAGGTGTTTCATTAGAGTAGAGGAAACCGGCTCCGCATCAAATTCCCTTATTCCTAAATGACTACACTGAAGTCCTCTGGGTTCCCTTTCCCTGATTTCTTGCCTGCTCTTCTGTTAAGTGGTTTCCTGGCACAGCCTTGTGTCCCAGACACCCAGGGGATTAACCATCAAGGTGCTTTTTCTGGCCTCTGAGACCACTTGGCATCCCATCCCATGTCAGCTTAAGAGCATTTTAGGTAAAATTCCTGGAAGGCCATAAAAGGCTGGATTTAAAACTTTTGATTTGCCTCTTGGGAAATATTAATAACAAAGTGATTAATTTGATTGACAATGAATATCATTTAACATAAAACAAAGATGAGTGATGTGTTGAGCTACATGACCCTGAGCAAATCTCTTTATCTTCTTTGCTGCTGTTCCCTCATCTTTAAAATAAAAGGTGTGGACCTGATAGTCTCTTCATTGGGAGGTTATACCATTCAGAAATTTGTAGGTTTTTTTTCGTGGGCAAAGGCAGCATTGAGTGGTGGTCAAGCTGAACTCTGCAGCTACACTGACTAAGTTCAAATTTCAGAACTGCCTCTTACCACAGATATGACCTTGAATGGGTCCCAAGACTCCCATGGGCCATCATGTCTTCATCCATATAATGGGACTAATAATATAATATGCCTCATCGGTCTGTGGTAAGGGTTGTATGGGTTAAATCATTTAGAATGGGGCTTGGTGTATAACAAGCACTATCTGAGTGATAAGCAGCATGCTCATAAGTAGCTTGTAAACCCTTCTGATTCTGAATTGACAGTTCCTTGGCTAACTGATTGCAAAAGTTTGACTCGATTCTTTTTCCTCTATCACAGATTTTAACTTGTGTTGATGTTTATTCTACTTAAACCAAGAGGCCCTCTGTTGCTCCAACTATTGCTTTTTCCTTGGTTATTCCCTTCCAGTGCTGGTCAAGATATAGCCAGACAAGGATGAAGTCATTCTTTGCTTCCAACTGAAGTGAATTGTTGGAAAGCCCATAATAAGGTAGCTTTTGACTGAGAATTAGGGCATAGAACATCTCCTTCAGTAACAGTCTGAGTTCTTGATTTTGTAGCAGATGTGAATCACAATCCAAAAATTCGGTATGTATAAAACATAATTTTTACGGCCATAAATTGACTTTATTTCTCATTCAAGAGAGCCCATTTCATCAGGCTGGAGGGAAATCCACTCTAATTTTGTTTCAGGATATGCTAAGGTTTTGGACTCTATAATTATCTAACAGGTTATAAGGCTTTGGTGGGAGACTTCCTCTGATTATCAAGTTATTTATCCACATAGGCATTCATCAGATGGTCAGCACCTGGCTAGCATGGCCCTTTAGGCACCTGCCTCTCAGCTTGTTCTGTGCCATGCTTAGACACACAAACTTTGCAAGTCTGTCAGCAGTCCTTCCTACCTAGATCCACAACACAGCTATCCCTTCTTTGACGATAAGTGATGAACTCTGCCACCCAACAACTTTTACCCATATGACCTTTATAAAGCAAAGTCCATGATGATCAGAGACTGTCTGCCTGGTGATCAGAGACTATATTCTTCCCCTGAGGATATGAATATGCAGTCATCTCTCTATTTGGTATAGAGTTGGCAGAAACATAAAGGAAAACTTTTTAAATGTATGCTTATAAAATGTATAAAAATATAAGTGGATATCTCTGATTATTATCTTCCACAAGAGCATAAACCATGAGGTTTGGGTGTGAATCAGCAAGAATAATGAAATGTCTATAAAACTAAGCACAGTTAGGAGGGAAAGGAAACAGATGTAGAATCAGAACTGAGTTATGGGTATAAAAGAAGACATTCAATGAGACTATCAGGATCCCTTAGTCTCCTCAAAGACAACTTTTAACGAATCACAACAGAAGCTATTCCCTAGAAATGTATCCCTTGATGTTCTAACAGCTTTCACACAAAAGAAAGCTTTCCTGGAATTCCTCACGTATTTCCCACCCTGCCCTTTAATCTCTTAAGACATTAGAGTTTCAGTGCTTAAAAATATTCTGATCCCAGTGATCCAGTTCTGAATTTATATTTCTTGAAACAGTCACGGGAGTAGATAGATGATGTTTAGGAAAGAAATATTAGAAAGGGTCTTGAGCTTAGTTCATTCAGACAACTGCTAGTTATTCAGCAATTATTCAGCTAATTGTCTGGCATCATTATGTGCCAGAAACAGTGATAACAGATTATGTTATGACCTCTGCCATGAAAACAATTCAGTTTGTAAAGGTGAAGTTGACAAATAAGGAAATTTTTGTTAATAAAGTATGTTTATACGGAAAGATGTACAGCATACAATGTTAGCTTGAGTACAGGAGTGAATGGCTATATGGTTGTCTTAGTGAGGGCTGGGTGAAAAAAATAGAAACTATTCTAGGCATTTGAACAGGAAATAATTTAATATAAGGATTTAGGTGCATACAAAACCTTTGGGAGTATTCGACAAACAGGTCAGAGAAGACTTGCTGGCTCTCGTTTTTTTCTGTTCACTTTCATGGAGTCATGGAGTTGCAGACACAGGACACTCAGTAATCCCAGTTATTTCCATCCAAATTCTGTGAAATACTTCTCTTTAGTGGCATCGAATACACATCTAAGATACCTGTGGCCATATAAGCCTCAGGCTTCCAGTCTTTGGGATGTAAAGCAGGGGTGGCCCTGGTGCTGAGATGCTACTGATAGAATGGAAAGCACTACGTAGAATCAGAAAAGCTGAATGTCTCTGTTACTGTGGACAAAGGCTAAATCTATCAGAGCCCCAGTGTCCTGTACAATAAAATAAAGAAATAATTTAAAAACCCAGATGCTTAGGTTTGTTATCAGAGATATAGCTGGCTTTTAAAATGCTAGAGATTGAAGGAGAATGGCTTGGGCCAGACTTTGGGATGTTGTTCAGAATGGAAGGTAATCATGAAAAAATGGCCACATTTTATGACAGTTTTCTCTTGGGGTCTCACCATTTCCCTTTTATTCTTTATTTTTCTAACATATTTTCTTCATATTCTAACTCATAGTTGTGACAATAATAAACTTTTAGAATGTCGTTGAAAAAGTACTACGTTTGGAGAATGTGTTCATGAGGACTGACTGAGCATGATTCCATGCCCCCATTCCTATGGCTGTATATCTAGTTGGTATAAAGATTAAATGAGGAAAACTGACTTTCTGTGCCTGCAGATGCCAGATACTCAGTAAATATTTAGTTATTCTGCCTTCTAGGAGATGCACAAGGAAGAGTGAGGAGGTCACATAGAAAGTAAAGAGGCAGAATAAAAGAGCAATAAAAGAGGATAACTATTTTGCTTTAGCTAGCTTTGGCTGATGGTTCTTTAACATTAAAAAATGTAAATTAGCATAGAAAATTTGACACTGTGCTGCTCCTCTGTATAACATGATTTTATCATGAAAGCAAGGGGAAAGAACAAAGAGAAGAGTGGGGAGAGAGGGAGATAAAGAGAGAAAGACAGAGAGAGAGAGAGAGAGAGAGAGAGAGAGAGAGAGATCAAGTCCTAGCAGCTGACTCCACTCTGGCTCTTCCTAGTTCTACAAAGGACCAACTGCTAGAAACTTGAGTATACTGTGAGGTCGGGTTTTGATCAACAAGTTGAGGAGTTTTATCCATTGGAGGACAGAAAAGTGAAATTTATATGATTTATAGCAGTGCTTCTCCTATGAAATCACATGTAATCATGTTAAAAGAGCAGATTCTGAGTCAAAAGTTCTGAGGAG